CATTGATCACATTACATGTGTGCTCAGATGTTTTTTTTTTTATTATTATTGATAATGTCTTTAGGACAACTTAGGCATGAGCACTCCTGATTGTTGAATTAAGGTGAGACAAACTGTAAAGCTGTAAAAATAAATAAAAAAAGTTCCAGAAACTTGAATCCAACAAAGCGAATCATAGCGTTCTCCTCTTTCACCGCAGCCTTAAATCACAGTTGAGTTTTTTTGTCGTTGATAAGAAGAGACATTTTCAGTGCCCATCACAGCCTGTCTCTCTGAAGGTCCCTTTATCTCACACAAAATCATTGTCCTCCTGTTAGATTTATCATACGAATCCTTTCCAAACTCAGCTTTTTACAAACAAGAGAATTAAATCACATTAGGTTTCCTGAGACGCCTGCGATTAAAGAAAAAGTGTTGCAGAATTACCCTTGAACCTCTGGAACAGTATGAAGCTGATGTAGACACGTTGCGGTACATTGCACCACAGATCATGTACTGTACTGTTGTGTAACATCACTGATGTCTCACTCAGCAATTACACATCTCTATAAGTTGTATTCCTTTGCTTATCTAACAGTAAGAATATTTGGTTTACTTATAGAAAATGTATATAATTAAATTAGTAATTTATGACTATTGCAAACGATGTAGTTCTCTAAGGGAACTTGTTCAGCCTCATAGTATTTTCACCTGCAGTCATTTAACGTCTCAAAGTTCAAACTTTAGGTAATTGTTTCTTTGTTTTTTGTTTTTTAATTTTGATGAAGGAAATTGTTCTATTTTTCATGATGCTTGATTCATTTTGACCTAATATATGCTATCCATGTAGGTTCCTGAATTATGTCCAGTTTAGCAGTTTGTCAAACTTTCAAAGCTAACCTAAGAAAATCTGAGGAATTAATATCCATCAAAGCTGAACTAAAACATGCTCTACTTAAAAAGAAAAGTGCTAATGACCTAAAAAGGGAAATATTTCCGCCCAATGCATTTACAGCAGGTCTAGCAATCACAGTTTCAGTCCAATTTCACCTAATATAAAAGTTAGTTTATAAAAGGATAGTAAATTGTTATCTGCACATTTTCTATTCAATTAATTCCCATTAATGTAAA